ACACACAACGGATTGATTTCGAATTTACACTATTCTCAATGTGTGAAATAGCAAATTATAAATCTGAAATATTATTCGAGTTGATTAAATTAAATTAATATTTTATTGTTCATATAAGACAACAATAATATTCCATTTTGCACACCGTAATATGTTGAATGCAATTATATCTCAATAAGTATAATATAACAATCTCAATACAAGTATTACCGTTATGTTTTCAATTATTAAGCCGCGCATTGAGCTATCATTACCGATAATTATTATTATTATTTTAATTGTATTGAATGAGCGCTCTTAGAACTAAGAAGTAATACGGATGCCAATTAAGGATGTCCAAGGACAAAAACCATTCCAGGAAAACGACAGCGGTGATTTTCTTAGATTTAGATTGTTAAAAAAAAAAACAAAAGACAAATAGTACCCTGGTGTTGTCGACTAGGATGGTTTTGGATCGCGTGCCGTTCAAGTCTGACACGCAAATATCGAATTAGCAATTAAAAACTTATATATATACATTTTAGAAATGATGTCGGATGGTATTATCGAACAGGCAACATAAGAAAGAGGGATAAGTACAGGTTACATAAGGTATGGGGGAGAATGGGGGAATACCAGTCAGTGGGTAATACTGGTCAGTGGCATGTCTCTTAAAATATGATAACTAAAATTTAGATGAGCACATAATTTGATAACAGTTGTTACCAAAACCCAATACCAGATATTTCAAGATGATAAACAACTTATTTCCCACCAAAAAATTATCATCAATTATTTTCTTATCACTTTTGTTGTAATATTTTTCCAAAACAAAACTCATCTCAAATAATTAAGAATTTCTAATTTTTTACTATATTGACTGTTCCTAATATAACACAAACTGGCAAGGATTGCATTTATTTGCTCATAATATACCTAAATATTACAGCTTTTAAGTAAATAAATGTATTTAAAAAAAAGTCCGATAAGGGTAATACCAGTCAATACTGATGGGGTAATAACGGCCTAACATAACTTATGTAATAACCTATTACCTTACCTAACTAATATTTCCATTAAAAATACAATGTCTTTGAATAATATCATTGTACAATTTATAGGTCTGTACTGATAACATGAAATTTTGATCATAATTTGTATGTTTTTTAGGAACTTAAATTTTTCCCTATCATTTTATATGCGTTTTTTGGTGACTGGTATTATCCCGCTATATGGGTAATGGCGGTCATTTGCACTTACTCTCGAAGTGAATCGAGTCAAAATATAAATATAGTACAGAGTACTATTTTTTTTTTTAATATTAAGTAAAATGTAAAAAGTCATTTTGTATCTTTTCGCATGCCACAAAAATAAAACTATAATCTATAAACCAATTTTGTTTTTGGTTAAATTAAGTTTTTAATTACTGTAGAAGTCGCCAGGGAAATCATAAAATAGGATTGAAAAAAAAAACAAATGTTTATTAAGAAACTTTATTAAACTGTAGTTTTACTTATGGTTTACTATTTGTGGCATATAATTTTTGGCTCTCGAGTCTTAGACACGTCTATGATCTGTCCCTTTTATATCTATACACAGAGATTAATTAAAACAACTGAAAACCCTCCAAAAAACATAATTCCAATAAGTAAATTTATTAAGAAAAAAAAATATGGAAGCTATCTTCTCATAATTGTGTATGTTGCTCTCAAAATTATATATTTATGTAACTATGTACTACTTACAAATGCAATTTATAAGATAACATTTTTATTTACAATGTATTTAGAGTGGTTTTAAAATAATGCTTCTATAATCGACCATCGATACTGTGCTGGCTTTTAAAATAACTAAGAAAATTATTTTTATCGCCCATATTTAAAATAGCGGTGCACAGAAAGCAAGAAATCTCAGTGTTCTCCTTATTTAACTAGTTACAACTTATAATTTTCTTGTATTTGTCAAAACGCTAGAAAAAAGTGACTAAATTTAGTGTTTTGTTTGCGTGCCTTGTGGTTTGAGTTGTGTTATTTTATAAACAAACCAAAGTACAACTGTAATTAAAAAAGTCTCACAAAGTAAAATATTGTGATACTAAATGTAGTTATATTCTCAAAGTTAATATTAGGTACTTTCTATAAGACACTTTTTTTTTTAAGCATGTTTACATAATATTGTGCATGATATTGAATGAAAACGTTACATTTCAAAGAAAGAACAAGTGTTTTTTTTTTATTAAATAAATGAAAAACTTTCAATTTTAAAAATTCTGATCAGAACAAAGGACAATTTTTACCTCTTTTTTAAGGTAATATTATTTTCTATAGCTATGATATGTACACCAAAACATATTATCTATATATTATACATATGTACCTACATAATATTATATTTTAGGTTTATTATCGGGTCGTAAAAACGCGTTATTCGAAAACTTCCTTTTGGCTTTTCTTTTTGCACAAAAAGATTAGACAGCGATATTTTATTCAGAAAAGCGCACAGCCGACACGGTGTGCGCCTTTTTTTTGCAAATGCCACGACCGTAGGCTCTTTACAACGGCCATTACATTGCGCAATGTGTAATTTATTTTTCATGGATTCTTACTTTCTCCTCGAGTTTTGTTTTTATGGGCTCGGCGTATATACCTACACAAGAAATGCAAATAGTCGCCGAAAGGAAAAAAATATAACCGTGAAATATTATATCAGTCTTGTAAAACTAAACTCTATACAAGCTAACGGCGTATACAGGGTGATTCTATTATCGTTGGTCACTCAATATCTTACTGGGTTCAATTAATAATTGAATTTTTTTAACAATGATAAGAGATTAGAGATAAGAGATAAGATATAAGAAATTATAGAAAAGAGATTAAAGATAAAAGGATATAAGGATAAAACGATTTATATAGATACAGAAGGATATTAGGATACAGACGATTAAGATATACCTATATAAGGATAGTCAAATGAATTTGTTAGATGGGCACTTAATTAATGGTGAACCACGGAATATGATTTATGGAAAATGTCAAAATATATTGATAAATGTTGCCAGTAAATCGATTAAGGCTACTAACTACTAAAAGATTAAGGGATTAACTACTAAAAAAACGTTTGGCCAGAACGTATTATAATTAAGACTATACTATCAATTACCAACATATATCGCAAGGAGATTATAGATTGGAAATAATCATATATATAATTATCAGGACATATTATACACGTATCTGCATGAAGTGTGGATACTCTTAACTTTTTTCATATATTGTGATCTCAATTTTGTTTGATTAGCAACTTTTGAAACTTATTTTAATACGCATACATTATGTTAACTTGAAAATAATGTATTAACAAAACTGTGACTGGTCCACAACCAGTTTTGGATAATTATTTTTAGTTGAGTGTAGTTTCTTCGTAAACTTATTAAACTCTTGTAACTTTAAAAATACTGGTTCATACTGATTATCAACAAGTCAAAATGTTTAGTAAAATATTCTTAATTTAAAAAGTTAATAAAATATATACGTTACCATTTGAGTTTTAAAAATTGCTATAAAAAAAACTAATTTTTGAGAGTTGGGTAGGATAATGAAAATTTGTGAAAAATAGAGATTACATTATATGAAATTATATAATATCGAGTGGCTCGCGATAAAAGAATCACCCTGTATATCACCCTGTATTACTTGCGTTGCTTTGCGGCGTGCAGATACCAGGTATATAAGTACACTATAATATTATTGTTGTCTTGAGTGTAAAAACGAAAAGAACAGAAGAAAACCGCGTGTCCAAATTGATTAAAAGTGTAGGTAGGTACAGTCGTGCGACGACGTTATTACGTGTAGTAGATTAGACAAGGGCGAGGGAACAAAGATGGTTGGGGAAAGAAAACTAATAAGAAATCCGGCGCTTTTGAAAAGGTCGTAAAAGCGACCTTTGAACGTGAAAAATAAAAAGTTTCTTGGCTTTACCTGGGCGGTCTGACACACACACATACACACTGGCGAAATGGCTCGGTCGATTTGTAATGTAATTCCCCGCCCCTCCCCATACAGATTATATAGTACTCCCCTAGGTTTCAAAGAAATATTGCGGATAAGAGTAAACTTTCTTTGGATAGGTGCACTTTTTCACGTAGGTACATACTACCCCTGCGCTGCCGTTGTGTCAACACAAAAAGGGTTTGCCGTGCGTGGCCGAGATTATTAAGTTTTCACAGTAGACCTTTGCCACACACACACTAATAATGCTACCATTGAAAAATATACAGTTAGTGTGAATCATATCGTGTGTACAAAATAAATATTATTAACAAAAAGAAGAGGGTGGGGGGGGGGTGCAAAGTGATGTCAGAAAATGCATCACTATTTCATTGATAATAAAACTATTTAAATAGAACGCCACACACCTTATTTATTAGCCAGTAAGTTCAGGCATTTTTTTTTTTAATTAACACTTGACATTAAGCCGAAATTTTAAAAGTCATATGCCAGGTTGCACCAAACACTTGTCGTTATCTGTTGGTAAATTATTTACCACCGTAATAAAGTAACTTTTGTTATACATTATCTTCTGTTAAATTAACGTGTGTTGCTAGGAGTTAATATTATTATCACACAGGGTCTAATCAATGATAAACTGATAACGCACATTTCCATTATCACCACTTTAAGGCAAAACATTGATAACAAAATTTAACTACACATACATATTTTTACACAGCGATAAATGACAGCTGTGATTTAACTCGTAATTAAGGACATTTTTAACATCAGATAAAATTTAAAAAATGGTTTATAATTTATTTTAATTCCAGTTAAAAACGAGTTAAACTCTGTGTAAATAATAATTGGTCAACCCGATCAAATCAAAATTTGAAACAAGGCTAAAATAATTATCATAATCTATACTATTGTAGCGACTTACAAGCTAGCAAGTTACATGATGATCTAACAATATTACCGTTAAATAATGTACAACAGTGAGTCATTTAACGTGTGTTTGTTTTGTTCCAGGAACACGTGCCGATCGCCCAATGGCCAACGTATTAAAGGAGATTACTTGGACACGGTCCATAGAAAACCAACCGATATAATAACATATTTTCTTTTCGGTAAGGCTCGGCCACATGGTCTTGGGTATATTTTTAAAGCGTTACACGATTCGTCATTTTTGTTTTTTTTTTTACTCACAACGTATGAATGAACTCCTCCGGGACGTGATTTAATACCGCTGTAAAAAAACTCCACTATTTCAGAGTTCAACACTATAAAGTGTAATAATAGTAAACATTGTTTGGTTTACTTTTTTTATTTTTAATGACGGCCAAACCGCCTAATGGGTACAATATAACTCACGTAAAAAAAACCGCCTTTAACTGTAGGTACAATAATATTAGCTGTAATAATTAGTGTTATGTATAAAAAAATTGTAGATAGATATATTATGTACATAAAAAAGAAAAAAAAATACCTGCAATGACTATTAACTTGAGGATTTTCGGATTATCCGATTGTCTAATGGTCAATGCAAATTTTACCAGTATTTCAAAATACATATTTGAATAAATAGTCAAAAAAAATAACAGCTCACATATTTTGACATATTTTCACTCTAATGAATGGTCCACAGTATCATGCTATATTATCAACGATAAAGCATTCATTAAAAATGCATATTTAAACAATGGGTACATTTTTTAGTGATAATAAGATTTTTTCAAATCATGATTCATGTCTAAAAATATAATGTTGCCTGGAGAGTAGTTCCGTGTTATACCCAAAATAGAACTTTTGTATTTCCAATGGTATGAAGTCTACCTACAATGCACGCAGGGATATAAATTATAAATTGTTTGAAAGACGAGAACTATGTGTTGTTGAAATTAGATTTTAAAAATTAGAAATAAGTTTGACATTAAAAATATGCTCTTTCTTTATTCCATATTGTTCCATATCTCTAAACCAACTATCGAAAATTGGTTTCCAACAAAACATAAAAAGAGTTCTCACCTACAACTTTTATAAAAAGATTTTTTTACTCTAAAACCACTCGGTAAGCCCTGTTTTTGGAATTAGAAAACTATGTTAAGAAGAAAAAAATATTTAATATCGCTGACAAAGATGCTGCAACAATTCGAAAAATAACTTAACTGCCTAAAAAAATACTTGATATTTTTCCTCTGCAAGGAAAATATTTTTTGGTGGGAGTTATATTATTCTAATCTCTTATCTCTTGTCTTATCTCTTATCTCATATCCCTTATCTCTTATCTCTTATCCGTGTCAATATAAAGCGTTATGAAAATCGGCCAGACAAAAAAAATGTGTATCCAGCCCAAAAAAAACATTAATGTTAAAAGAATTATTACTTATCTAATAATTGCGCGTTACAATTTAAGCTTTGAAATAAGATTTTGCAAAAAAAATTGCCTATACCCTACTCTTTGATAAATAGAGGGTATCGCGCCCCATTAATGGCGTCGTACGTTAAAATTCGGAAGCGGGGTTTTTTTAAAAAAAATGTTGAAAATATAATAGCGGTTGGCGATTAACTAAAAATCTAATTTTTAAATTTTATATTTCAGTTGAATGAGCTCGACAAAAGAAATATTTTGCCGAGTCAATGTCGGGATGTATCAGAGTGTCCCGGACGGGAGTCCGAAATGACGGTACAGTACAAAATCCTCACCAACAGTACGCCCAAATAATTAAGGTAATTATGAATATTATACACCATGGAAATAATTTGGATTTTCCCGGTCGGCTATTATTTTCGTTACGGTGCTAATGAATGAACCCCGGGACATAAATTATTTTTCCAAAACTGTAGAAAAAAATTAACCCTTTTTAGCCAATAAATCTTCAATACCACCCTACGCAACCGAGTCCAGACCAACTGGATTAATTTTGAGAAATTAAATTTAACACCATTAGGAAATAACGAAAATACAGATAAGTACTTACTAAACATTTTCGTTATAATGACAGTAAATCTTTTGGACAGATGATAACTTTTACTTATTTTCGCAAAGCTGGCAATTACTCTGTTTTTTTTTAGTATGCCCAATAAAACCAATATTATGTAATACCAATTTTTTTACTGGGCTTGAACAAAAACAACACACTGGGTTTATTTGCTTAGTTTCGGTTATTGTTAACTTGTACATTGTACTACATATTTTATATTGATTAACGGGCGTCATCGGATAGGCAACTAAAAATGCTTCAATGTGTTCATATTAATAGTGTGAAATAATAATAAAATGGTATAAATCTATAAAGTCATTCTTATTTAATTATTTATTCTACAGAGAAAAGATGTGTATTGATTTCGTGTTGTATGTTGTACACATGTCGTATCACATGGCCATTTTGATAGTAAAATTTCAATATTTTTATTGGAGGTGTGTTTTTTTGTTGAACAGTTTTGTTAAAATACTGGCTTACCTCGCAATTGGATAGTTAATGTGTTCGTTTAAACTCATTTGATTCTCGAATAACTGTTATTATTACTAATAATTAGTTTTCACAACTTTTGTTTTTGCTGGAGCCAGACTTTTACCGAGTTGGGTGAAGCCCGGTTTAGTGTAGGTAGGTATAGCGTTTCACTGGCAGCGATTAACGGTCTCATTCCGGCATTAATTATGGCGGTAAACTTGCATTATTTATAACCTAAAACACCGAGAAACGGTCTTCATATAATTAAGGCTTTTGCTGAAATTCACTTTTCCGGTGTATCCCTTTTGCCCAATTAAAACAACAACGCTGGGGGATTCTTCGGGCTCTCTAGGTAATAAAAATTAATAATTATCTCATAAATCTTTTCCGTTCTCGGACACCTGATGCTTGCCCGCAATAATTATGTTAATTACAATCGTACAACCCTTTTATCAGAAGTCCATCATTATAAAATATGTAAACACAGCTTTATTGGCCACTATCCGGTTTTTTTTTTTGCATATCGGCTCATAAAATCCTATTCCGATTACCTGAAAACATAATCCGATTTTTTATAGACGAGGTGACAAAATATACATTGAGATTTAAATATTGATTGTATAAACCAACACAGCTTTTGTGACAATTTCGGTTTATATACAAATACAAATGTATATGTGACTTTCGCCTTTGGGCATTATTCAGAAAACAATTGATTGTTATCAGTTTGATAACAGTTTATTTCAATTGGTTTTTAATTACTAAAACTATTCAGTAACAATTTTATTTGCTTTTATTTTTGCAAGTAAAAATATGTATTCTTTGTTTGTTAAAAGCCCCGCCAATTGTGAGTATTATTACAAGTTTCTTTAATTTAATGTTTATTCAGTTCAATAAACCATGTACGATAACAACTATTTCTTAAATTGTATATTAAAAATAAACGGTGTGATCGTTAAAAACAATTATTATTCAATTAGTGATTCACTTTATTCCCATTGCATTTTTATTTCTGAATAATAAAATATTTAAATTTTATGGTTTGAATAACATAATTATTTAAATTAATATGTATTTATGGATAAAGAATATTATTTCAATATTGATCAACAAACACAACAAATTTAAATTTTTATTCGTTCGTTATAAAACTAATTTGATTCGTTTGTCTGGTTTTTCCATTCAAATTTGCCCAACAACGTTCCTTGTAACTAAAAAGTGTGGAAATATTATACAATATACGTTTATTGACCACAATTTATTTGAACTTATAAAAATGTTATTAACTTGTATTTGTTGTACACTTATGAAGGTATATACCGATTGGGCGAACCATTATTTGGACAAAGCAAAGTCGAAAAGAAACATCAAAGATTTGCAACAAGACTTAGCTGATGGTGTGCTACTATCTGACCTTGTAGAAACTATATGTAAGTAAATTTGTGTGATATTTTAACCATTAATATAATAATAATCTTAAACACTGTACTAGAGCTTCAAAAAAAAAAAAATCTATTAAAAAAATAGTCAAATAAATAAGTGTTCAAATAATTTGTTTTCAATTCTCACCATAATAATAAATTGACATAAATTTCATCAACCATATAAAAATCTATAAAATAATAAATTATAGCTTGATATCAATAAAATGTGTACTACGGTTCCGAACTATTGAATGTCGTTATTATTATTTATATATTTTTATTACTTAACAGAAATAAAAAAAAAACTATGAGGTAGGTAGGTATGTAATTCAACGAATAAAACATGTAGAATATATAATATTTATATAAATTAAACATTTCAACTACACTTTATAGTATACAAAACGTGTACACTGTACATAGATTTTTATGACACTTAAGTTGTAAATTATTAAATTGTTTTATGTATACATATATATGTTTATTTAATATAATATAAAACTCTAAAAAAAACCCACATAAAATGTTATAATATTCTTCTGGAAACAAGTTTTTTTTTTTACATTTTATGTGCACACATGAGTCTTAAATGTACTTTTCGACGGTGGTCGGAATGATTGAGACGTTTTATTTTTTTCTAATTTTATCACTTTGGTTTTACGACACTGATAATAATAATAATTATATAACAACCTTCTTCTATATTATATTTTGTAATACTGATCGTTGTTTTCAGGCAATCACCGGTTGCCCGACGTCAACAGAAAACCCAGGACTCATTTACAAATGGTAAGTGTGCATTGCTTCAATCTGTATATACATACAGGGTGATCCAACTAACGTAAGACACTCATTTTCTCTGAAAATATAAATATTTTGAGAATTTTTTTCCCCTAAACTTTTAAGTACATATTTTACTACATTTTTCAATAACTTGAAAATTTTTATCACCAATCCTTACAAGCCAAAAAGGAGGATTTTCGGTTTTTTTAAATGGCAACATATGTTTTTAGTTACATAAATTTGTAGACAAAAATTTTTAAAAATATGTTAGCGTTTGAATTTTTCATTTTCACTTATCTGTTTATTAGCTATAACTTTGTAAATATACTACATTTCCTCTTAATAATTATCATATTTCTTCGGTTTCCAAAACCGGTAGCACATAAATTTCATATTTATGTTCGCAATGTCCAATTGGCGATAACATTCTAACAACTAGGAAGTCACTATAAAATATTTTGAAATAATGATAGACAAACGGTTCTTATCTACAGATTACATAGATTACAGGTTATTTATTAGATATGATTATGATTCAGAGTACGGTAACACGTAAAATTATTTTTATGCAATGTAATAAAACTACTCTTCTATGTAGTAACGATTGAAAATGTTAAGAAATACAGTCAAAAAATCAAATCTTTGTAAAATCATAACAAATGAACAAATAATTCATAATTCAAATGCTAACATAATTTTTAATTTTTTGTCTACAAATTTATGTAATTAAAAACATATGTTGCCATTTAAAAAATCCCCCTTTTTGGCATATAAGGATTGGTGATAAAAATTTTGAAAATATTGAAAAATGTAGTAAAATATGTACCTAAAGTTTAGGGAAAAAAAAATTCTCAAATATTTTCAGAGAAAATGAGTGTCTTACGTTAGTTGGATCATCTTGTATATAAATAGTTAAACAGATATGGATATGGATACAGATATGGATTGGAGGATATTTTTAGGGTGGGCACCTTTTACAGGGTGATAACGGTTTTTATAATACTGGGAGACTCTCAATTTTGAAATTTTGGGTGGTACCTAATTATTTGAAAATTTCGGTTATTCCATGACAGAAACTCTACAAAAATGTAATTAATTAAAAAAAAAAAAATATTGACTGGACAATAAGTTGGTAAATCACTCAGGTTTCTAGCCTACATATTGTAAAAAAAAACTTTCCAAGTGTTTGGTGGAATTAATGCACCTCTTTCCACGTGGTACCATTGTAAGACGTATAGGTACAATATACATATAGATTGTAGCTTAAGTATATGCTATACTATGTACCTAGTACTACATATTCATATATAGCATACTTAAGTCTCCTCGGTCAGCTGACTGATGCCGCCGCCGCCGCCGAGGAACCAGTTTCACAGCTACTTGCACAGATCGGGCCTGACCCAGATAACCCCTCGGTTCGTTTTGTTTATGGCCACTGCCCCGGGCAATATACACACACACGCGGATGAATACACCACACACCGATGTACACTTCTGCTGGGCGCCATTTTGAAGGTCAAACGGGAAGAGAGTCAAGTAGATGTACATATAATAATAATATCTTAAACCTATATATATGTGTGCGTTCGATTAACGACCCGCCGCCGCCTCATGACCTCCAATGAAACAAATACACACGGTGGAGATAGCTCCACTGTATAGCTTGGTATAACGTACTCACGCCTGCAACAGGATACCCTATTTCGGCCCAGAAAGAAAGCCACACGACTGCGCCTTTGTCGCCCAAGATACCGTGACGTCAAAATAAGGAGTCGACACGCAACCAGTAACACACATTGGTACACAGTGGTATAACGGTAAAAGAGATATTAGATGGGACAAAATACAAAAAATAAAAACCCGACAATATAATGGCAAAGTGTTACCCAACCGGAATAGATAAGAAGATATAGGGTATGACCAAGCATAAGGTTGTAATTTATGTAATTAAAAACATATGTTGTTCATGGTTTTAAAAAAACCAAAAATCCCCCGTTTTGGCTTATAAGGATTGGTGATAAAAATTTTCAAAATATTAAAAAATGTAGTAAAATATGTACCTAAGAGTTTAGGGGGAAAAAAATTATCAAAATATTCATATTTACAGAGAAAATGAGTGTCTTACGTTAGTTGTATCACTTTATATATAAATAGTTATACAGATATGGATTGGAGGATATTTTTTAATACAGACAATATAATGGCAAAGTGTTACCCAACCGGAATAGATAAGAAGATATAGGGTATGACCAAGCATAAGGATCTGGATAAACTTAGCTAAACATAAACCCTAAGAAAGCTGCAACAAACTAAGGATTAATATAACACTAAGAAGAATACAATATTTATGTGCGTCAATAATAACAAGCCTCCCTTCTATTTTAAATTTCTATTAAACTTTTTAAAATCCATTTTCTTAACTACTTAATAAGTGTCTCAAAAAAGCATGTAAGTCGTAATATTGTTTTGTGTGTGCCACCAAAATGTTGTTAAATTAGAAATCATTTACATATACTCGAATATATAGTAGCCCTTTAAATCAAAAATCTGAAAACAAACGTTTAATTTTTAGTAGTCATTAACATCTATTATTAAATTTTATGGGGGAAAAAGTCCAGGTTTAGGACTAAAGCCATTGCACGGCTCCCTTAAGCCTTTTGTAGAGTAATTATACCTAATGAAAAAAGACGCTATGCTAGTCTGTTAGAAAAGTCCCATCGACTGTGGTTTTTCCAGAGCCTTGCAAAATCTTGATGAATAAATTACTGTGCTTTTTAGTTCAGCCAAAAAAATTCACTTTGCCTAGCCATGTAAAAAAAACTAGCAGATGAGGCGAGAACCTCTTATACAAATTTTACAAACGTATACAAAACAATATTGTACACGGTTAGGTTTTTTTATCTCTTAAAACTATATTTTTATTAGTTATTTCAAATCCGTGTTTCCTACTACACTAAATATATTTACTTTTTAAAAAACTTACTCAATTACAGTATCCAAAAAAACCGTCGTATATTGTTTATTGTATCTTAAGTGCTAACGAAATTTTGAAACTGTGACTACTACAAGCAAAATAGGACAGACAATAGCCGACCAATAAGAATAAATAATAAGAAAAATAGTGAAAAACGTTGGAACTAGTCTAGTAAAGTATATTAGTACTTATTACTCATATATAATTATTAGTGTATAATAATTAAATTATAATTAAATTACTGTATCGATAAAAGTACATTAAAGTTGTCGTTTTAAATTAAGATTAAGACCATAACGAACCCATTGATAAATCAAACAATTTATTGGCAGGTGCGGCAAACTTAAAGCGATGACAATCAGTATTACCACCTTAACGGCTTTGTCGGTTCGGCTGTGTTTATTATTATTATTTTTTGCAAAACGTGCGTATGCATTAGCGGCGTGTGATCATACAAACTAAATAGGTGTCTGCTATATTAGCCGTGCCTTGTGTAGAGAATCCTACGACCTGTTCCCACGAGTACACAATAATATTATTATATTCGAGGTTTGACGATTGTGTTTTGTGAAAAGTCACGTCCGTACAATTGAATTCTTACCACGGCGGATTGCTACCGTTTTGTGTCCATTCGGTTCGAACCTATTACGGTCGAGGATTGATAGATAAAAAAATTGTTTAAAAATATAAAATATAATCTCTTACAGATCCAGATCGATGAAAATTAACCTTGGGTTACCTTGGGTCAAAGGACGCGCCGATCGCGGTTATCGTATGGTCATTAATCCTCGTCGTATTATATATTATATTTAATTAATTATTATTACTTACCCAACAATCTGGAAGTACTCTATTTAAATATGTTTGGGTGTGTATCATAGGGTAATAATAAAAAGAGTTGAACTTACATATTATACTAGCTTGTATGCGATAGTGAAGTAAATAGTAGGACTAAAACCAGTTTGGCCACACAAAAGAAAAAAAAGTCCACATTGTTAAGCGATTGGTGCTCTATATGATAAAAATAGTATTTACCCCTATCTTAAAATATTTTTGTTTTTTTTCAAGCACAGACATATATATAATATTTTTGTGGGATATATGCGTGTATAAAATAATATATATATCTGTGATTCTGTGTTATCAACTTAACTTCATCATGTGATAACGTACTAATTCCCACAAAAATGGCGGAAAATGGTAACTTCAATTACCTCTATCGGCGGCATGTGCTTTATTAGCTATCTAGTTTATTATAATATATATTTGTGTTTTCAAGATACTGTTACCATTGATATCTTATCACCGTTATATATTCAACAGTATTTTTTATATTGCAACTAAGCAGACTGACTTTAGTCCTACTGCTTGCGTCACATATACAATATGTATATTTATCTTAAAAGTTAAACGTTAAACGTTTTATATATTATTATTATTATTTTGTGTTGTTTATCGTGTCTCGCTCGTGTTTGTCGTTCAAAACGTATAGTGTTTTTTTTTGTAAACGTCAATCTCTTTAATGTCTCCGGAGCGCAATCCACTTGGAAAAAACCAATTGCTTTTGTTTTACATAGAAGTTTTTTTTTTAATAATAATCATAATAAATGGTTCCATAAATTATTGTAAAAGTCATGTTTGTGTGTGTGTACCTGTTGTGTCCGGTGTCGTTGCGGTCCCGGCAAGTGGACGGCACGAACAAAAAAACTGTTAAAAAAAAAAACAATAATAGTAATAATAATAATAGTGGGTGCTACAATAGGATTAGGTAGGTATACCGTGCCGCCGTTGTCGGTTCGCAGTGCAGCGTGTCGGAGAAACAGTTTGCTACGAACTGTACCAGCGGATAGACCGGTTTGCCGCCGTTCCCAATGTGAAAAAAATTTAATTTAAAAACAAATTTATGTGTATAAAATATAACTGTATTTAAAAAAAAATTTCAAATCACACTCGGTGAACGATATTAGTGTATTTATTATTTTTTTTTTAATTAAAATTTTAATTATTGTGCTAAAAGTGTGCGCGGACATAC